GCCTTTAGATGAGCCAAGCCCTCCTTGGCCACTATGACTACAATATGTGGCAGTCTATGTCCAAATTCGAAGTCTCACTACACAAAGGGTCCAAGAAGGAATTCCGGGCCATCCTCAAAGAGGGCACGGCTGCAATGAGAGCAGCCCTCCAAGCAGCCTCGGAAGCAGCAGGCTTCACGGCTCATCTCCATGTAAAGGGCATCCTGGCTGCTCCTCTCGGGTCTGTCAATGGAGGCTCAGCAATCGATGCAGGACCTCCCCTTTGACGGCCAGGCCCTGTTTGTAGAACAGACGGACGGTAACCTGCATGGCCTTAAGGACTCCTGCACTACCCTGAAAACTCTGGGACTGTATGTTCCAGTCCAGCCCGTAAGTGGTTCAGACTGCAACAATCTCAGGGCCAACGGAGTCAAACCCACCAGGAGCCGCCCCCCCCCCCAAGAAAAGTATGGGCTACAAGCACCACCCGAGCCACCCACCTCCTCCTTCGAGATTGCGCTCGAGGGCGATGTGCCAGACTTTCTACCCCAGATTTGTCTGTCCTGCTGTTTTCCAACCACCTTTCTTTTTTTTCTTTCCACATGGACAACTATAACTTCAGACCGCTGTGTCCTCAATACTTTGGCGGAGGGTTATACCCTACAGTTTACTCCCACCCACCCCATTCCCCATCCCTCTTCAGGGACCCTTCTCACGAGAGTCTCCTCGCACAGGAGGAAACGGGGTTGTTACAACTGGGTGTGATGGAAGAAGTTCCTCTCGAGTACAGGAACAAGGGGTTCGTATATTCCCGGTACTTAATCCCAAAGACGAAGGGCGGTCTGCGGCCCATCCTGGACCTGATGGACCTCAACAAGTATCTAAAGAAGCTAAAGTTCTGCATGGTCTCCTTGACTTCTATCATCCCCTCCCTGGATCCAGGAGACTAGTATGCCACCCTCGAATTGAAGGATGCATACTTCCACATAGCGGTCTTTCAAGGTCACAGACACTTCCCCCAGTTTACTGTGCGGCCCCACCACTACCAGTTTGCAGTCCTCCCGTTGGGCCTGATGACAAGCACCTAGGGTGTTTACAAAGTGCATGTTGGTGGTGCCTGCTTACCTCAGGTGTCCAGGCATCCAGATCTACCCATACCTTGACGACTGGCTAGTCAAGGGCAACTCCAGGTCTTAGGTCCAAGAGATGTCCTGGTGCTACAAGCCACGTGCCACTCCCTGGGCCTACTGGTGAACGATAAAAAGTAGACGTTAGTTCCGGTGCAAAGGATAGAATTCATTGGAATGGTACTCTACTTGACCTGCGCCAGAGCATTCCTGTTGCTAGAAAGATTCCAGATGTTGACAGACCTCATCACGGAGGTCTCCACGTTCCCCCTGCCTACAGCCAGCGTTTGCCTGCGCCTGCTGGATGACATGGCAGCATGCGCCTACGTTGTCCATCATGCCAGGCTCTCATTGTGACCCCTGCAGCAATGGCTGGTGACGATCCATTCCCAGTCCAGAGATCACCTGAACAAGATCATTACCATTTCCCCAAGGGTACTTGCCTCGCTGCGATCGCATGACTATCTTGGAGAGGGTTCCATTTGACACCCCCCATCACTCCATCGAGTTGGTATCGGACTCCTCAGACTTCGGCTGGGGCGCGCACCTCCGTGACCTCCAGACCCAGGGTATGTGTGACATTACACATAAATGTCAAAGAACTCAGGGCCGTCCGCTTGGCATGTGGAGTCTTCCTACCTCACCTGTCAGACAAGGTGGTGAGAGTTCTGATGGACAACATGGCCTCAATGTTCTACATCAATAGGCAAGGGGGAGCATGTTTGTTGACTCTCTGCCAAGAGGCACACTATCTTCGGGACTTCTGCATCAGCCATGAAATCCATCTGGAAGCTTGTCACCTCCCTGGCGTCAAGAACACACTAGCAGATCACCTTAGCAGGGACTTCTCTTACTGTGGTTGCTCCACCCAGAAGTAGCCTGCATGATCTTCTAGAGGTGGAGAACTCCCCAAGTGGACCTGTTAGCCACCAGACTAAACAGGAAATGCCACCAGTTTTGTTCGCAGGAAGGCCTGGGCAAGGACTCCCTCTCTGATGCCTTCCTCCTGTCGTGGTCAGGGAACACGATGTACCCGTTTCCTCTGATTCCTCTCATCAGCAGGGTCCTGGCAAAGATCAAGAGAGGCAAGGCACTATCTTAATCTACCTGCTTCATCTGAGGAGCCAGGGCCTGGCACACACTTCCATGAGTGTGCATCTCGCGGCCATCTCCGCTTTTCACCCACCGATCCAGGACCAGACTGTGTTTTCTCATGACATAACGGTCAGATTCTTGAGAGGCTTCAAGAGACTCTTCCCGCAGATGTGGACTCCTGTCCTGCAGTGGGATCTTAACTTGGTCCTCTCTAGGCTCACCTGCCCACCCCTTGAGCCGCTGGGTTCCTGCTCCCTTTCCCACTGTCTTGGAAGGTCGCGTTGCTGGTGGCGGTGACGTCGGCAAGATGGGTCTCTGAAATTAAAGCTGCCCTTAGGACCTCCATACACGGTCTTCTACAAAGATAAGGTTCAGTTGCGGTTCCACCCTGCCTTCCTGCCAAAGGTTGTCTCCACCTTCCATATGAACCAGGACATCTTCCTCACAGTGTTTTGTCCCAAACCGCATAAGACCAGTGAGGAGAGGCGCCTTCACTGCCTGGACGTCCGGAGGGCCTTGACTTTCTACTTAGAATGTACCAGGCCTTTCCGAAAATCGACTCAACTCTTCATCACTACAGCAGATAGGATGAAGGATCACCCGGTGCCTTCGCAGAGGATTTCCAATTGAATTACCTCGTGCATAAGGACTTGTTACAACCTGGCGGGGGTTCCACCGCCACCGATTGTCAGAGCCCACTCGATAAGAGCGCAGGCATCTTCGGCAGCCTTCCTGGCACACATCCCTATCCAGGACATCTGTAGAGCTGCAACATGGTCCTCTGTTCACACATTTACCTCTTATTATGCCATCACTCAGCAGGCCAGAGATGACGCTGGGTTCAGCAGAGCTGTGTTGCGATCTACATGTCCATGAACTCTTACCCACCTCCAGGGGTACTGCTTTGGAGTCACCTAATGTGGAATGGACATGAGCAAGCACTTGAAGAAAAGACAGTAACTGGTGTTCTTTGAGATGTGTTGCTTATGTCCATTCTACAATCCACCCTCTTTCCCCACTGTCGGAGTTTCTGGCAAGAAGGAACTGAGGATGGGGGGAGCCGGCAGTGCCTCTTATACTGTGCCATGCGGGTGCCACTCCAGAGGGCTCCAGAGCCAGTCCGCTATGGATATTGCTGAGGGAAAAACTTCCAGCACTGGTGCATGTGGCGAGCACACACACTTAATATGGAATTGACATGAATACCACATCTGGAAGAACACCAGTTACGGAAAAGGTAACTGTCTTTTCTCTCTACAATGTAGCAAGAACAGAGGCAGTTTGGGGAGCACAGTGCTTCTTCCACTGGCCAATTAACAAGGCTCCATGGAGGCAAAGCCAGGAAGGAAAAAAGGGCATTGCTTGTCTTACATAACTCCTGTTCTGTGACTGTATAGCCTCTATAGAGCACCACACTGGGTCACCCTCTCTCCCTCTACTGTTTTTGGAGCCCAGTTACGTTTAGGTGTTCTGGAGGCAAACAGGGAGAGCATTGGTGAGGGAAGGCCACCTGTACTCTCTGGGGCAAGTAGGCTTGATGTCCTAGACTACAACTGTCACTACTGACTTCCAAAGGTTCTCTTATAGTATGAAAATCCCCTTCTGAAAGGCTCTGACTCCTATATTGTGGCTCTGGAAGCAATACTGTTGAGAATAAGACGCTTGAGGTAAATGAAGCCAATTTTTCCCCTTGTAAGCAAATGGCTAAGCTACATTAGTTTGACATACACGTTCCCTGCCTGTGCAAGGATGCAGCGGGTGCATGCATACGCATTAGTCATAATTATGCTCCAGAATGTAAACTTTTACTTAAAAGCAAAATTGTCTATAGACTTTATGGTTCCAAAGAGAGCATTCAGAATCTGAATCCAATATAATGGTGTCTGATTCCAAGCTAGAAATGTTCTGTGAGAAGTATGAATTGCTCTCTTTCATATCATTGTGCTAACTGAAGCCTAATGATGGGTAATTGAAATGTCAACTATTTCTCTTCACTTCACCAGAAAAATCAATCTAATGTACTTGAATGTAATGGGGTGTCTAGTTTGTGTTGAGTCGTAGTCAGAGTTTAAGGCTAGAAGGAATGACCAGATCATCTAGTCTGATCTTCTGTATATGATGGGCAACAAACAGCATCAACACACACTAAAACCAACAACCAAAGTATTACAGCACACAGGAGACTAAAACTACTATGTTGCCACTGACAGAAAATAGGAGAAACTGAGTGTACATCAATGCCTGAGGTCCCTGCAATGGCAGGGAATTGATGAAGTGAGATAATCCTGGCAAGTGACCTGCGCTCCATGCTGCAGAAGGCAAAAAGACCAAAACCCAAAGGTCACCGCCAATCTGACCTGGGGGGAAATTTCTTGCCAGACCCACATATGGATCTGATCTCCATCTGTGGCCATCTCTGATGCTTCAGAGGAGGGTGACCAAAAAATCCCCACCCCAGGATACATTGGGGGCAAGAATCCTTTCTTGAGCCCTGTGGGTGACCAGCTGAAGCCCTAAAGTATGAGCTTTAAAAACACAAGATATAAACTGGAAAGGATCCCCAGGGCTGCTAAGCCCTGCCCCCTGCCAAATCATTAATTCTCCCACAGTTGGTCACTTCTGATCCAGAGTTCCATTCAAGCACCCCTCAGAATTCTTATTTTATGACCATACAATTAAAGTTTCCATATAGCCGGTTTTTTCTCATGAGAATATTTACACTTATTGGCTTGGCTACAAGTTTTTAAATCTAAATCTAAACTAAATCTAACCCTTTTTTTTTTTTTTTTTTTTAACCAGCTCATAGCTTTGATGGCTTAATACCAATGATGAATGGAGGAAATGAGGATGATGCTGACAATATGCACATTGATAAAGAGGTTGCTGTTGTATCAGGTGGGAGTGGACAGTTTCCTGTTAACTACAACAACATTCAAATGGTCGAAGACACCAAACAACAGGAGAGTGGTTCTGTTGGACCAAAAGAGATTGAAATTTACACAGTTTCTGCAATGCAAACTCCCTGTCGTTGCAAGAATCAATATGCATTTTATTTCTAATTTAAATATAAAACATCCTTTTATTTTTTGCACACTGTTGTCCAGAGTCTTGCAAACTATTGTATTACTGTAACAGCTATTATATTTGGGTTTTTAAGTAGATATCAAAGATTAGCTGTTTCATAGAACACACTGCAAGGGTATAAGGGAAACCTTATTGATAGATCTAATCTAAATAGAAGTTCACTATGGCTATTTCACTTTTATTAAAGGCTTACATTTCATGTGCCTTGTTTTTAGTTACTATGTTTGCAGCTTAAAGGAAAATTCGGAGGTATTTTAAATGATTGATTTCATTGGTACCAAATAGACTTACTTTTCCTTGTACAATATTGGCAATTATATCCTAATGGTTTATATAGTTCTTGAAACAGGGTGATATCTCTTAGCTAGTTTCAGACTTGCTCAACATATGCAAATAATAGTCCAAACCTAATGACTGTGTGTTCAACATTTGTTCAAACACCGCAATATGACTGTAGAAATCATATTGTGAACAGCTATTGCTTTTGTTTTATGTGGATAAAAGACTATTGATGCCATGGGACTTTCATTGAGTTGCCATTTGGAACAATCTTGGAAACCACTCTTTGGATTTTGTATCAGTCTTCATGAAATCAGCCATATTGTTAGTAGTAGTGCATATTAGTACTTTAATTTTTTCAGGGGCCGCTTGATCAAGATGCTTTTTAATAACCCAAGAGTGTATATAGAGTTACGCTGTCTTAAGAAAAATTGTCTTGGGTCAGCTTGTCCATCCACTTGGTAGGTAAAGGGAGGAGTTACTATTTTAGTGTATTATTAAAATTTTAAATGAATATTCATGTCGTAAGTCATACTATAATAAAATGTTTCTGCTTGATACCATAGGTCGGATTCACCAAATTATATTAAATGGACATTAAAATATGTAGGGATTTAAAAAAACAACAACAACCTTTTCATTAGTTTGAAAGTAGATGAAAAGCTCCAGTGATAGTTGCCAAATGTTTATATTTATTGAAAAGTAGTTGACTTTCTCTTTCATAAATATTGTGTATTGTTTTAGGTGCTTATTTTCAACAAATATAAAAATGCTGTAATTATCACTAGAACTATTCACGATATGCTTTTGAATATTCACTAACAGAAATGCCATTGTTAACTTTGTTAACAAAGCTAGCCTAAATTACCAATTTTAAAACGGGACTGCACTTTTTCCAGTTAATAAATATTTTATCAAATTTTTAATGTGCGTCTTCGTCACAATATTAGTAGGCATAATATGTTGAGTTTGTTTTTTTTTTTTTGAACTTGACCTCCAACAGGATTCTATGGCTAATAAGTTTAGTTAATGTGATTATTTTAAGCAGTGTAGAGATAAGCAGGAAACTTCAGTTGCTGCACTTAGTGTCACAGATAACTCTCAGTTCATTCACATCCTTGGCATTGTGTGTTACTATATGTGAAATACCAATGTCATATTATATATACCCGTTTATATTTATGTGGAGAACCACAACTTTCCACTTCTTCAGTGTAAAGCAGTGGTACTCATTACCTTTCCTTCAAACAAAGACCCCGTGTTTTAAAATTTGGCAATTTAGTAAGAGAATACTTAACTGCCCTGAGCTAGAAATAAAACAAATGATACTTTTCTGCACAAAGATTTATGCATTAATATGTACATAAATGTATGTGCATACGTTCAGAAAGACCTAGAAAACAAAATGTAAAATGCTCAAAAATCAAAATACAGAGCTAGTTTCTAGGTTTGCCCTGCCTATCGTTAGACAGACGTGCACACACAATAGGTAATTTTAGGGCACACCCAGTAATCTATTTTTGTGCTAGTACTTTCAGTACCACTACAAAAACATACATTTGAAACTTGACTGAAATTTAGTTTTACAGATGAGGTAATTAGCGTACTAATTACTAAAATTCAAATGAGAAATTGCTTAAACCAGTCTGTTTTTTGCATGCATATTTTTAGTATTTCTTGTTTTCTGTTAGTAATCTTATGGTCTTCTGTGCATTTTGCTGTTGTATGGCATTTTGCATGTGGATTGTACAGATGTTACAAATCTATCATTAAGAAAAAACATATTGTTCCCGCCTAATATATTCTCAAGTAAACCACTAGTTATACTGAAATTGTTTGATATACAACCTTAGGAAACATTTTATATTAGTTTCCCCATTGACACAAGCTTGTTCATATTGCCTGCTTCAACATGTATTGTTACCTGAGATCTGTCACTAAAGAGGAGGCAAGAAACATAATCACCACTGCTAAAAACTGTAGTCCACTCAAATTTAAGTTCTTGCACATAGATTCTTTAGTTCCAGGTGGATTTTAAATTTGTCCTGTTTCCCAAAATACTGTTTGGAATGTTGTCTGCTTTGTTACTCTACACTTGTCACTTAACTTCTTTATTTTTCTAAAATTCACAGTGTCTTAGAAAGATTAGCATAGCTATATATATATATACATTTCTAATTTAGTTAGCAATTATGTTTTTGAAATTAAAATCAGCTTTCAAATTTACTGGTCAGAGTCAGATTATATTACTTTTAAACCACCTATGTTGACGTGGAATATAAAAATTAGGTTTGCACTCAAGTGTCTTTCCACTCCCACCCCCAAGTTTCTGTGCATAGGTTTTGAAAAACAAAGTGGAGTGCAGTGGAGACATTTTGATGTATTTCCATTGATTCTCAATTTTTGGTGACAGATGTATTTCTTAATGCAGATATGAATAGCAGTAGCTCCGTTTTGAATGCATTGACAAATGGATGTACCATCAATGGACATTTGGACTTCACCACCATAACACAGTTCAATGGAATGGATTCCAGGCATGAAGAATGTTTAACATTAAGACCTAATGGAATAACTTCTGGAGTAGCTTCTGCCAATAGGCACAGAATTCACACCTGTAATGGCACTGAAGAACCAGAAAAAGCCATGAATACTTCTGCCGATATGTGTGGTTCACTGCATCTGAATGGAAGCCCAAGTAGCTTTGTGTCTAACAGGCCCTCATGGGCTGAAGATCTTGGAGATACTTTGCACTATGGGCATTATCATGGTTTTGGGGATACTGCTGAAAGCATCCCTGAACTTAACAGTGTTGTTGAGCATTCCAATTCTGTTAAAGTTGAACAGAAATATGATAATACTGTCTTAGGCACAATGTATCTTTATCATGGTTCCTAAATCAACATCTTGTTTGTCAAATTCATATTGAAATTGCTAGCAAATGTTTGAGAGGGACAAAAAATCCTCATCTAGCATTAAATCTGAAAAATGCACCTATTACTATTTTTACACTTTGTTTATATAAAAAGTAAATCTTTCATTTGACAGTCTTATACTATAGTTCTAATTTGTTGCATGTATGAGGCTTATCTAGTGATGCAAGTAGGTGGTGTTACAATGAAATGTTTATTCTTTGCATTTTACTATAGAATGTTGTGGTTTTGTACTTGTTCGTTTATTTGTTTTTTTTTTATTTTATTTCCAAGCTAGTGAACACTATCTTTCCCCTTCTTAAAAGTGTTTTCCCTCTTATTAATATGATCAAACTGTATTGAATTTTGTGCAGAAAACAAGTTGTGTTTGTGTATCAATCTTGAAGTAAATATTTTCCTTTTTTGTATTTTCTGCTGAAGCTATGGTAGCGATATCAATGCCAGCTGTCACTATGCAAGGTTTGAAAAGTGTTGTTCTTAAAGGAGCTTCTCTGATTTACGAATTTGTATGTTTCTTTAATAGAATTGGAACTTCATCTTTTCGTTCTATGACAAATGAAATGTTAAAAATGCAAAGACAAGTTAGAAACATTTTTCAATTTAGTGTAGCATAGGAATTCTTTTCTTCATTGTTAGGGCCCTTTGCATTATAGAAGTGGAAAAGCAGATTACCTATGGTCAGTTGCAAGTGAGAGTGTGCTTCAGCATTGGTTCTGATTTATGGCTTTTTTTTTTATTTTGCTTCTCTACTTTACTTATGTGTTTGATATTTTACCATAGCTCACAGCCTGGATGCATGTTGGCACTGTTTTTGCTTTTTATGCAATTTAAAATTACTGCTACTTGTTATAGAAATAGTCAGGTCAAAATATTTGACTGATTTTGATATACTGTACATATATTTTGTTTGCTTTGTGTTTTTTACAACTGTTTTGAAAATCTAATGCCGTGTATATCTAGCCAGTTAAGATACTTTTAGGGCTTTGTTCACTGAAAATACATTGTATTTAAATCCTGTAACACAAGTAAAAATTCATACAAGTGCTCTGTATACACATTAATAATGTAAGATACTACTTTTGTGATTTGATAAAAGAATGGTGGGAGAATATATTAAACAAGAGAGAAACCCAGTAAGCTTTGAACTGTATCAATTTTTTTTGTTTTGTTTAAAAGGGACATTACAAATTGAATTTTAAAAAAATAATTCCATATTGTATCTGGATTTATTTTATTTAGAAGTGACACATTCATTGATTTATATGAACAAGTGTTTAATAGATTTAAAGTCAAATCTCACTTACCTATTTAATCCTTCTTAACGCCTGTGTGGAATCTGTTTATTTTCATTATGTGGAATTATAAAAAAGAAGGTAAATAGGCTGGCAAGTCATCTTTGACTGAGTTTCTTTGTTCTTTCAAAGATACTAGTACATGTTTTCTACATTATGTGTAAAGACTCTCAGTCCTGAGTTCCAAAGAAAGATCAGAAATGTTAGTTTTGTGTTTCACCCTGAAATTGTGTAGTACTTAGTTTTCCCTTAAACATTTCATTAGGAAAAAGTCTGAAAAACTCAGTATTTTCTAATAGAACTTACAATATTGTTTCATATATCACCATTCCGATATAAAATACCACAAAGCAAATTAAAGTGTAGCGAGTTAGATACTAGTTGAGTTACAATGACAGTATAAGCAAATGGAGCAGTTGGCCAGAATAATGCAAGCACTTAACTTCTGGTGACAGATGAGATGTGCAGGGGGACCTAAATCTCACCGGAAGCATGGCGCCTCTAGCATGCTATAATTTTGGTCAAACTAACACTTCAGACTTATTAACTTAAAGCTTGATTAAGACATTTTTTTCCAAGTGCTATTTTAGAGTTTTACATATGATTTTGTTTATATTCATTTGGCAAATCAAAGCCCTTAGTATTTATAGCAGTGTGCTGTCTGAATTTTCCTCCTTAGGTTACAACTAATCTTGCACACATGTTGCTTGGCCACATTTTATAGTTTTTCAATGAGGTTTTATGTACCCAAGTGAAGTATAACTCAAGACTTAAATTTCCTGCCAGACAAGCTTTTAAGGAAATATATACTATATTTGGCTTTCATTCACTATTATTTAAACAGATTTCAGACACATTTTTCTTCAAAAATATTTGACTGAATAACTTGAGTATCTCTATCCTATCTGTGAAAAATTTTCTTCAAACCCCTCTTCTCCTTCAAATGCTTATTGCTTTCAAGACTAAATTTCCAAAACTGAAACTAGAGGGTCTTGATTGCTGCTTGTTGTAAATTCTCAAGATGTCTTCTGAACATTTTTAGTATATGGAAGGTCCACTGAAGTCCTCAAAGCAAAACAAGGTTGCAAGAGTGCAGTATGTGAGTTCAGAAGGAGATAGATGAGGAAACTTTGAGTTTATATACTGGAATTGAAAGTGAGAAATATAGGCTGTTACCATAGCCCTGTTTTCACTACTGTACAGAGGCTGAGAATTGGAGAAAGGTGGAGCATACTCCTGGTCTCACAGATTGAATACTGATATGAATAGTTAAAGGCTATTTGACTATTTTTAATTATTAGTCTCAAATTTGCTGTTTTGAATAGGAGGATGAATTTTGCTATCGTACATGTTTGTAACTCCATTGACTTTAATGGTATAATGAAAAGCAAGTGTAATAAAAGCTGCTTCTGGCAGAAAAAGTGTAGATGGATTTGAACTATATACAATCAAATGGCAAAAAACATTTACACGGTTAATTTTCCAGTGACAGCTCATGTCCTTCCAGAATGTTGAGTTTAGCTTAATTTAAACTGAAAACCAAGAAATACACTGTTACAGTAAACGTGCACCCAATCTTGCCTCTGCCCCCATGCCGCCGGCAATACCCACTAGGAATTAGCTGCATACACTGCAGCTGCATTCACAGGAATGTAGCTATATTGAATGGTATATGCAGTAGGTGGGACTAGTTTGTAGAAGTCTGTTTGTGAGCTGAGAAAGTGGAAATTTAGTTTTCACACTACAGAGCTGTAATTTTATGAGGTGATTGGGGTTTGCTCTTACCCAATCAGTGTAAGGAAAGGGGAGGATGCGTACCCTAGAGATGGAACTAGTATGCATCATTTTATTGCAAGATTATGTAGGTTGTCTCAGGTTGGTGCTGAGCTAGTGCCAGGTATGGTCTCTCTGGCCTAAAGTTGGGGCTGGAGCAGGTAGGGTCCCTCCAGCCCACAGTTAGGTGTAGGGCAGATGGGGCACCTCATCCTAAAGTTAGGATTAGAAGTAGTTTTCCACCCTTCTAGCCTGGGCTAGGATAAGGCAGGTAGGGTCCCCCTGGTCCAGAGTTAGGGATGGAGGTACCCCAGTATAGGATTGGGGTGAGACCAGAAAGTGTCCCAATGAGAATGAGGGCTTGGGTTAGAATTGGGCTGGAAAACTGGCTCAGGCTTGGGTTACAGTGAAAGTCAGGTAGGGGCCCCCAGCCTAGGGTTTGGGGAGGAAGGGTACTATGTTCTAGGGTTAGGTGTTGGGAGTAAATAAACTTTCACAAGTGATGGTTTGGGCAGGTACAGTCCCCTAGGGTTAGGGTTGGAACAGGTAGGGCCTCCCACCCTAGGTTTAGCATTAAGGCTGAAAAAGTTTCTCAGGTTATGGCTGGGGTAGATAGTGCTCCCAGGGTTAGGGTTGGGGCAGTTAGGGACCCAAAGTCTATGCTTAGGTCTGGAGTAAGTAGGGTCTCAGGCCCAGCATTATGGTCAGGTGTCTCAGCATGGGGTTAGGCCTATAGGGTCCCTATATACTTCATGGATCCCTGAAGGCAATTTATCTAGTGAACCAAAAAAGACCTCCTGCTCTTTAGAGGGAAAGGACCAGAAGAAATACATCTATCAACCGATTCTGGGGGACAACAAATGAAAAAACATAAATGGAAGTGAGGGTCATAGGTTTACAATCAGTGTTTCCGAGGGGGACACCAAGCCGAGATGCCTGGACAATATCCACTGCTCCTCAAAAGTTCAGGGAGCTAGTCGATGCCACTCAGAGAAACACTTCCTAGAGACTTGAACAAACAAGTGCACAAAATCAACCCCCACAGTCTTGGTCACAGGTGAGCCCTCCATCCAATTCCTTCCTTCTGGATTGGATATATGGCCCATTAGCTGAAAGCCAGAAGGAGGTCAACAAGGAGGTTCTGCAACTTTGTGGGCCTATGGATAAGATGTGCATAAATAAAAAGGTGTGGGAAAAACTGAAGATAGAACCTCAACAAGACATTCTGGAAGAGGCAGAAAAGGGGCAGCCCACTGTCAATATGCATGTGCCAGGGTCTTCCTCTCAGCACAAGAAAAACAACTGTAATGGGAATCCAAAAACCATCAACAATAGGCCTCTGTTCATGGCTCTGTGAAGGGGCTGCCTAATTATATTCCTGACAGGCTGTGGCACCAATACAAGCAATCCCACCAAGACTTCTCACCTTCCATAGATGGCAACATGTCCCACCATTATGTACTGGGGTGGCTATGAGGGTGAAGAAATGAATAGCATGGTGCATGAGCTTGTATAGATGTTCCTGTGACGTGGCTTGGAATCAGGTCAGCCAGGTCTTACTGAGTTGGCTTATATGGGAAATTCAAAGCAGTCGGGGCCTCACCTGAAGCTTAGAAAGGCCAGAGGAAATGGGTGGGCAGGGAACACTAGAGGCTGGGAGCAGGGCTGCCTTTACCTCCTGTGGCACATGTGGGGTGGGCAACCCCATTTGCTGAATGAAGGTGTTGGGGTCCACCTACTCCTGCTGACAATAGTCCAGGAGGTCTCTGGTCCTGACTGGTGTCATCAACCTCTGGTGCACTGAGGGGACCTCCAATACAAACTCCTTATGGTCGGCGAGGGAGACTAATAGGGTGACCAGACATCCCGATATTTAGCTGTTTGTCCCACATCCTGGGACAGTCAGGACACAATTTGTCCCAATATTTGGCACAGAGCTGGACTGGTCACTGTAGCTCTCAAGCTCCCTACCTGGTTCTGCACAGCTGCCGGGAAGTGGCTGGCAGGACCCTGAAGCCCCCAGGCGGAGGGGCAGCCAAGGTGGGTCTCTGTGAGCTGTGCCCACCACTGTATTCCACTGCTGGGAACCGCGGCCAATGGGAGCTGCAGGGGCGGGGCCTGCAGGCACGGGGCCTGCAGGCACAAGCAGCGTGCAGAACCCCCTGGCTACCCCTGACCCTAGGAGCCAAAAGGACCTGCTGGCTGCTTCCCAGGAGCTGCACCAGGTAAGTGCCGCCCGGATCCCGCACCCGGCAGGTCCTTCTGGCTTCAAGGATCAGGGGCGGCCATGGGGCTCTGCACGCATGCTCAGCTCCTAGGCCAGTGGGAGCTACGGGAAGCAGTGGGACGCAGGGATGTGCTGGTCCCCGGTTCCCGCAGCTCCCATGGGCCGGGAATGGTGAACCGTGACCACTGGGAGCTGTGGGGGGCTGTGCCTCCGGAAGGGCAACGTCAGCAAAATGTCTCATGGCCTGCAATCTGATTACCCTGATGGGCTGCATGCGGGCCACAGGTTGCCCACCACTGCTCTATACCATTATCTATATCATTGATGAAGATATTAAATAGAACTGGACCCAGAACTTATCCCTGCGGGACTCCACTCACTATGCCCTTCCAGCATGACTGTGAACCACTGATAACTACTCTCTGGGAATGGTTTTCCAACCAGATTTGCATCCACCTAATAGTAGCTCCAGCTAGATTGCATTTTCCTAGTTTGTTTATGAGACGGTCATATGAGACAGTATCAAAAGCTTTACTAAAGTCAAGATATACCATGTCTACGGTTTCCCCCCATCCAAAAGGCTTGTTACCCTGTCGAAGAAAGCTATAAGATTGGTTTGACATGATTTGTTCCTGACAAATCCATGCTGACTGTTACTTATCACCTTATTTTCTTCTAGATGTTTGCAAATTGATTGCTTAATTATTTGCTCTATTATCTTTCCGGGTACAAAAGTTAAGCCAACTGGTCTGTAAGTCCCCAGGTTGCCCTTATTTCCCTTTTTATAGATTGGCATTATATTTTCTCTTTTCCAGTCTTCTGGAATCTCTTCCCATCTTCC